CTTCTCGTCCCTCCTCCTCTCACAGGGGACGCTCCATCCTCTGGCAGTCGAGGAAGGGCCAGCGATTCCCACTCCTCGCTGGCGAGTCCCCGTTTGCTTTTGTTACGCACCCTCGCGTGCCGCCTCTTGACGCTTTCTGCGAAACGAGGTTAATCGATGGCTCGTTTGCCTGGCTGCTTCAGGCCTGCGGACGATCGGAGTCATCACCAAGCTGGATCTGATGGATGAAGGCACCGATGCCAGAGATGTGCTGGAGAACAAGCTGCTTCCTTTACGAAGAGGTATAATGAGCCACTTTTTTGCATCACCCTGTATCTTCCCCTCGCCACGACCTTCATCTCGGAGAGCGTGGCATTTCCAAATGAGTTGAAGGGCAGCTCCGGCGTCTGCCGGGGAGCCCAGGCCCTTCGTGCTGCCCTTTGCTCCAGGAGAAGTGGCTGCAGATGGCGATACGGAGCTGCATGGCCCTGCTCGGACACCTTTCGGCGGGGTCTGTCCCGTAGCAAGAGCCAACGTTGTCCTCTTGCAGGCTACATCGGCGTGGTTAACCGAAGCCAGAAGGACATCGACGGTAAGAAGGACATCAGGGCAGCGCTGGCAGCCGAGCGCAAGTTCTTCCTTTCTCACCCGGCTTACCGGCACATGGCCGACCGGATGGGCACCCCGCATTTGCAGAAAGTCCTTAACCAGGTAGGCTTGGTTCCCTTCCCGAGTGTTTTGCGGTGCTGGTGTTTATCTCTGGTGGGAAAAGGGATGTCCCCGCGGCCGGTCTGGTGCAGAGGAGGGTGGAGGTCTCAGTTATCTCGATTCTTTTTGCAGCAACTGACCAACCACATTCGGGAAACGTTGCCTTCGCTGCGGAGCAAACTTCAGAGTCAGCTCCTCTCCCTGGAGAAGGAGGTTGAGGAGTACAAGAACTTCCGCCCCGATGACCCCACGCGAAAAACCAAAGCTTTATTACAGTAGGTTTCTCTCCCCCGAGTGCTGCATTCCCGGTGCCTCAGTGGGCAGAGGAGATTCGCCTCTCCCAGCCAGAAATGTCGCTGGCACAGAAATAAACTCACTCTGCTCCTCGCCTGAGGCTCATTTGTCTCGGCCGGTGGCTTCTTCCGAGGAAGAGCCTGGAATAGCCACGTTTTTGGGAGCGAGCAGTGCTGGCGGATGGCCCTGCCAACTCCAACAGTGCTAAGCTGGCACTTAGGAGAGATTCTGCATCCTCCGGCGCTCGTCTGGCGGGCTGCCGGGACGGCCAAGGAAAGCCTCTCCCAGAAATGCCCGCTGAGCATCTCTGCGGGCAAGAATCGGCGTCTCCTGCTTGCCGTGCTCTGCGTATGTCGCCTGCCTGTCCTAAAGCAAACAGTTTGGTCTCAGGATTAGAACTTGCGTCCGTCCTTGACCTGCCCACGGGCTCTTTGGACTACAGCAAAAGGGAGATTTTTTTTTTGCTTCTGCGACTCCAGCAGAGGGGATTTGGAGAACGTTTAGAGAGCCCTGACCGGCTGAAGCAGAGCTGGCTGTGGGAGGCGGTCGGGGTGTCTGTCCGTCCCTTCTACTCAGCCTGCGCCCCTTTAATCCCATTGCCTCTCCACAGAATGGTCCAGCAGTTCGGTGTGGACTTTGAGAAGCGAATCGAAGGTTCGGGAGATCAGGTGGACACACTGGAACTCTCCGGGGGTGCCAGAATCAATCGCATTTTCCACGAGAGATTTCCTTTTGAGCTAGTGAAGGTAAAGCTGGCCTGGGGAGCACGCGTGCTGTGTGGGTGGTGTTTGGGCAGACCCTGTTCCTGCAGAAAGCAGCACGGGGTCGTGGCGGGCTGAAGGCCCTCAGCACCTGGGTGCCTTTCCCTTCCCGGCACTCGGAGGTGTTTTGTTAAAGTCGGTCGTGCGTTTCGGTAGATGCAGAGGGCTGCCGTTTCTGGGTGGCCGTGCCTGACCTCTGACTTAAGCGCTGGGCTTGCACCGGGGTGCTTAAGAGCAGGGAGAAGGGTTTCAAACCTGGGTGCTTGCAAGATCTCGAGTTTTGAGATAAATAAAGGAGAGAGAGCGAGCCAGCCTGGCCGGGATGGAGAGCAGCCTCCGAAGTGCCTCGTGGGCCGAGGACGCTGCGTGCTTCAGGCAGGCGTCTGCCTTCTCGCGATGGGGCAAAAGAAGGGCTGTAACCGGAGCCCGGGAGATTGCCAGAAATTGCTTGCTGTAAAAATTGTAACTGTGGCTTTCCTCCCTCTTCAGATGGAGTTTGACGAGAAGGACTTGAGGCGAGAAATAAGCTATGCAATTAAAAACATCCACGGTGTGAGGCAAGTATCGGAGCAGCGCGGTCACGGATCCCGTTCTCCTTAGAGTAGATCAGTAAGCCTGGTCCGCGGGGGGTGTGTGTGTGTGTGTGTGTGATCGGAGCTTTCCTGCCGAGGGAGAGGCGATACCTATCGCCGTCAGCTCGTCCTCCGATGTCTTGTGGAGACCAGCGTTCGCTGAAAATGGACATTCCTCGCCTTTTAGAGGCAGTTAAAGGGGTAACTCGGCCACCCTGTGTCTCACTCCGGTGTAGCGTGCCAGCTCGGGTCAGCCTTACCCCGCTCCCCTGCCGCCCTGGAGAGCCCAGGGGAGGCCGCAACGCAGACGCTGAGCTGAAAAATCACCCCTTGTGCCTTCAGTTCAGCCGCTAAAACATCTTTTATCTTTCCTTTTACGTTCCCTTAAGCGGGGGAAGAAATGACCTTGAGAGACAGGTAGGGAACGTGAGTTAAACCTTCTCGCTAAAAGAGGGATCCAGGTCCTGGCTGGGGATGAGTTATGCCTGGACGCTGCTCGGCCCGGCCGGCACAGACCTGAATTTAAGGGAATTAAGGACCCCAAAGAGGAACAGCATTAAAGGCAAGGCCTCTTCTTGGCCAACCCCCTCTCCGTTGGCCTGCTGCTGTGACGGGAAAAGAGAAACGTAGAGTTTCTTCTCTTTGCTTTAACGCTCTCCCCAGGAGTCGCTCGACCTGCTCGTGGGGTGTCCGTTGTCCCTAACCACCACCGAAAAGGTTAATTCCCCGTTTCCTTGCGGTGCTGATGCACCTGGGGGGAAGTAGCACCCTAATTCGAGGTGCTGGAGGGGTTGGAGGGTGCTACCACGAGGTGAGGGGGGTGGAGGTGCCGGCAAAAAGTGGGGAAAAGTGCTGGAAAAAGCGGGGTTCAGCGATGCCATGGATCCAGGACCGGGGCCGCCCCAGCGGACGATGCTGGGGGGAGGGAATTGCTCCAACAGCTGGCCTCCAAACCTGATCACCCATTTTGTTTTTTTCTCTGCCATGTCTCTGCGCTCTCGCCCCGCCTGCGGATTCGTGTAGGACGGGGCTCTTCACCCCAGACTTGGCATTCGAGGCCATTGTGAAAAAGCAGGTGGTGAAGCTGAAAGAGCCTTGTCTGAAGTGTGTCGACCTCGTTATTCAGGAGTTAATCAATACAGTTAGACAGTGTACCAGTAAGGTATTGAACTGGCTGGAGGCAATCCAGACCCTTCCTACCAGTGGGATGGGGAAGCAGGAGCGATGCTCTAACCTGCCTGCCTTGCCTGGTTTCCCCTCCAAAAAACCAAAATAAACCAAAAAAACCCAACAAAATCTGGGGGCGCCGCAAGCAAATTGGATATTTCTGAGCGTTGATGGCGATTTCTGAGCTTTGACTCACATCTCCTAACGTGGAGTCCTCCCCATTGCCTCCTGCTGAGGGGATCGGCCGGTCCTTGAGTCAAGGATGCCGAGGACGGATCACCCTGGATGTCACCCAGCGTTTTGGGCGCTGGCTGCGTCCCTGAGCCCCCCGGGGCATCCCGACGGACAGGGTCAGGATTTCTGGGGATGCTTGGCCTCCCACATCCCGGGGACAGCCCGGCTCTCGCAGCGAGGGGCTCTCCGAGGCCCCGACCGTGGCGGCAGGTTGGAGCGAGTGCTGTCGAGGCGTCGTTCCCAGTAGAAGCCAGGCAGGTGGGCAGGCTGCTCTTGGATCCCGGTACCTCTCGTAGCCCGTGTCTTCTCAAGCTGTGATTTAAACTGCTGCTTCGCTGCACTCTGGGAATCCCGGGAACGTGGAAACAAAAACCGGGGAGAGTGGTTCCAGCATACGGTCTGGCGGCGCGCCTGTAAATCCCACAGTTCGATGTCTGCAATTAATAAGCTGCTTGATAACAAGCACATTTCCATTGCAAAAAGGTCGCATCCCCCCAGCCAATTGTCTTTTTTTTTTTTTTTCCTCCCCAGCCAATTGTCTTTTTTTTTTTTTCCTGTGGAAGCGTTAATTACTCTGAAGCTGTGCGAGGGGCCGTTTCTATATTTAATAATCGCCTGCTCAGAGCAACTTTGGGGTTTTTCTAACCTCTTTCTGGTAGCATCGTGCCTTAAACTGTAAAGAGAGCAGGAAAACCAGCCTCTCTCTCCTTCTGATGCTTATACTATTTAAAAAAAAAAGAAAAAGAAGAAATTTAGCTACGTACAGGCGAGAACGTGAAAGTATCCGCAGCGTTTGCTACCCAGAGTGCTTTTGTGGAGCGGAACAGTTTAAATGCTGAGCTGGTTCTGTCAGTGGTAGGAGCGGTGGGGCTTGGCTGGCGGGTCAGGAGTTCTCCGCTCTCTCTCGTTTCCAGCGTGGTTGACTGTGATCTGGGTAACGTGAAGAAGCCAGCGCTTCCCAACGAAATTCCTTCCGTCTCAAAGAGTTGGGGAGGCTCTTACCCCAAAAGCTGAGTTGAAATTCAATTTTTTCCTAGAGCTGGGTCTGAGGAATCCAGTCTAGAGAGAAGCCAGGGTTTTTTCCTGCGCTCGGGCAGCGCTGCCGTCCCGTACGCACGGAGGCAAAACACCCTCTGATCGGTAAAACAGCGCCCGACGCTGCAGGGAATTTGGGGTGCGGGGCCAAGCCTGCCCGCGAGATGCAGGGGAGCCGGGAGGGGACCGATCACCCCAGCAGCTCCCGGGGACTCGAAGGAATTTCTCAGGCAGGCACCGCGGCTTTTTCCTTTGCACGTTACTAACCTGAATTTAAAAAAACCAAACAACAAAAAAAAAATCTCATTTTTCTTTTCTTTTCTGTCTTTGTTGCTATTTCCCCCCGCCCCTGCACGCCACTCGGTGTTTGGCTCTCGCTCTCTGCATGGTGCAGGACGGGGCTCTTCACGCCCGACATGGCCTTTGAAGCCATAGTGAAAAAACAGATTGTAAAGCTTAAAGAGCCCAGTTTGAAGTGTGTTGATCTGGTGGTCTCAGAGCTGGCCACGGTCATTAAAAAGTGTGCCGAAAAGGTAACGGGTCTTAATTCATCCCTTTTTTGTCTAATCTGAACATCTGGAATATATTTGCTCCCAGGACCCAGCCGACCAAAGTGAGTTCGAGCGCAAGGTTGTTGCTAATTTGGGGGGGACGCCGCGTCCTTCTGACGCCCGAAGGCTTGTCGGAAACGCCGGCAAATAGAGACGTGACGTTAACTGGGCTTCGCGGCACGGGTCCTGCCGAGACATATTGCACAGGTGTTTGCTCGCCCCCGTAACAGCAGAGGCTAAAAACGCTCCCCGCGTTGCTGCGATCCCACCTCCTTTGCCTCGCTTAGCCCTAGCTCGTGCTTCCTGCCACGAAAACCCGGATCTGCTTAGCCGTGGGGTCCCGGGGCGGGAAGAAAAAAACAAAACAAAACAAAACAAAAATAAATCTGGATTTGTGTGCATTTGGCATTGCTTCGAAGGCCCCCCCGGGCAGGGGATTCTGCTGATCTTGTCGGATCTAGTGAAGAGAATCAAGTCTTGTCGCTTTTTCCACCCCTGAGCCCCAGTTGTGTCCTCTGGACAGAACTGGGGCTCAGTCCCGTCTGTCCTCCCGCCCCTTCGTGAGCGTCGCTGCCTTCGGAGGCTGCCACGCTCCGATCAGCAGTGTTTGTTTTTTGTTTTTTGTTTTTTTTTTTTTCCTCCCCGGCTTTTCTCCCTTTTTTTTCAGCTCGGTTCCTACCCCAGGTTACGAGAGGAGACAGAGAGGATCGTTACCACTCACATCAGGGAGCGGGAAGGCAAAACGAAGGACCAGGTGAGCTCACGCCATCTCCAGCTTGCCTGGGGAGCAGGGAGAAAGCCCGGCTGCTGGCTGCGAGGAGAAAGCAAGCCCTGGCCATGCTCCACGGCATTTGGGAGCGTCCACCCGGCATCTCCCCACTCGTGATCCCAAAGCTGCCTCTCGCAGCAGCAGCGCGGCGTGCCGCAGCTCTGGCATCTTCTGTGTGGTTCCCCTGTGTCCCCCAAGCACGACCCCGGGGCTCCGTGGGGGCTCTGACCGAGCGGTGCCGGAACTGGGGGTGTCCAGCCCTCCCCGTGGGACGCCTAACCTGTAAATCTCTTCCCAGATTCTCCTGCTGATTGATATCGAGCTCTCTTGATAGCGAGCTCTCTTACATCAACACTAACCATGAAGACTTCATTGGATTTGCCAAGTAAGTAATTTACTGGTGGGGTTGGTCCTCAAACTGGTTTTATAAATGAGGTTTGTGGTCCTGTCCCTAGTTTGCAGAGGAGGCGTGTGGGCGATGTTACCCTTTCAGGGCCACTGACGTGAAAATGGGCGGAGGAGTCTCCCACGTCCCCGCGTAATTCACCAAAACCATATCGGCACCTTTTGTGCCCAAGTTCTCTCAGATTTGGGATACGGGAGCTCCGCTTCTCAGCTTGCCGCCCTGGCCAGTGTTTGAGGGCCCAGAGGTCTGAGCTGCCCCACACCGTTCCTCCACCTCCGCATTCGTTAGTGCTGCTCGTTAGGGGCGAAAGCCTGAAAAGCTGGAGTCGGGGTGTTCATCCTCAGACAGAGGAGCTCCTTAGGGCCCGCTCACAGGAGCGCTGATGAGGAGTTAAGGTAATTAAGGCTGTTGCTGCCGTTCAACAGAGCTGTGGGGATTTTCCGTGGCCCCTGGGCACCCAAGGGGAAGGTGGAACGACTCCGGCAGAGCTGTCAGACTGGAGCAGAAATGTCCCCCCGTCCTTTGAGCTTGGCCCTCGTAATCCTCTGCGCAGGCAGGCGAGGCCGGGACCAGGAGCGGGGCTCTCCTGTTTGTCTTCCCTTGGCTTCGGCTTTTGGCCAGAGGATGCCTAGCGTTTTCCATTGGCACAGCCCCAAACTTTTCAGAGGTCCAGCTCAGGTGTCCCTGCACAGAAAGAGCGGAGGCGAGCGGCTCTGCCCGGAGCTTCTCGCCGTCTTCACCCACCCAAGCCCACGCCACCTCCTCCTCTTTAAATTCACCTAGTCTTCCTCTTGTTTTCTTTTTTTTCCCCCGCCTTTTTTTATGTCTCTGCTTTTCACCTTCATTCACAGTTCCTTCCTCTTCTCCTAATCTCTCCTGTTTTTCCTTTGAACCATCATCTCACTCTTT